CCCGGCCGCCCTCTCCGACCTGCTGGACGGCTCGGCGCTGCTCGACATGGCCGAGAACCAGATTGGCTACCTGCACGCCCTCGGCCTCGACTTTGGCTGGGGCCCCACCAGCCTGTGCCAGTGGCTGCTCGAGCACGTCCACGTCTACACGGGCCTGCCCTGGTGGGCGTCGATTGTGGGCGTGGCCGTCCTGTTCCGCGCGGCCATTTTTCTGCCGTCGCTGACGGCCGCCGAGCAGAGCGCGAAGCTGCAGGTGCTGCGCAAGAACCCGCGGTATGCGGCGGCCATGGCCGAGATGCAGGCCTCGGCGTTCAAAGGCGGCGCGCAGGGCCAGGCCAAGGCCATGGAGGCGCGCCTCACCATGAAGCGCATGCAGGAGGCCATGGACGTGTCGACGTGGAAGATGTTTGTGCCCATGATCAACATCCCCTTTGGCTACGGCATGTTCCGCCTGCTGCGGGCCACGGGCGCGCTGCCCGTGCCCGGCATGGAGACGGGCGGCATCCTGTGGTTCACGGACCTGACCGTGGCCGACCCGTACTTTGTGCTGCCGCTCGCCTCGGCCGGCATCATGTACCTCATTTTCCGCACCAACATGAAGTACATGGCCCCCGAGCAGCAGCAGACGATGAAGTACATCCAGATGGCCATTACGCCCATCAGCGTGCTGGTCACCATCAAGATGAGCGCCGGCCTCACCTTCTTCTTCCTGACGTCCTCCGTCCTCCAGATGATCCAGACTTGGCTGTGGCACCAGCCGTGGCTGCGCGCGTGGAAGGGTCTGCCGCCCATGCACGAGATGCTGCAGGGCGGCGCCCTCAACAATCTGCCTGGTGGCGGCTCGGCCCACCAGCAGCAAGCGGCCCGCCCCGTCGCGTTCCGCGTCGATCCCAACTCGTCCTGGAAGGCCCCGCGGGCGACGTCCACGGGCTTCAAGGAGGCAGCCGGGGATGCGGCATCCGAGACCAGCGAAGCCGCCAAGGCGGAGGAGCTGCTGACGAAGCCGCCGTCAGCCGTCGAGGTCGCCAAGAAGGGCTGGGGCAAGCTGATGGGCACAGCCAAGGAGAAGCAGGCCGCGTCCAAGGACAAGGAGCTGCTGCGCAAGGCCCAGGACTACGAGAAGCGCCGTGCCATGGAGGACGAGACACAGGCGTACCACCGCCGGGAGGCGGAGCGGCAGTACCGTGCAGCCAAGAAGACGCTCGACGGTAAACAGAACAAGAACAGCAAGTGGCAGTAAAACTTTTAGACGTTTTGGGGAGTGGAACCGGAAACGTGTACAATATGCATCATACATTTTTACTTCTGGAGATTGTATGAGAAGCGAAAGAAAGTGAAACACGGACAAAGTATTCACACGTGCGCGACGAACGGGTGGTTCATATTTGGCCATTGTCGGCTATTTTATGTTTATGCTCTGGATATTGGGACAGAAGAGGGCATATCAGATGGTTGGTAGCCATCCTGACTGTACATTTTTGCATATAGGTTTTTTTTTCATGTTTCCATTTGTCTTCATGTACCTAGACACAACAAGAATCTTCACTCGGAGCATATACGCAACACAACTTGCAAAATGTATCATGGACATTGCGTAATCTATATCAGAAACATAATAGTGTTGATGCACCCCGATTTGTACATTCAAATCAAACACGTAAACGTGACGCCACACAAAATTATCGTAGCACAGCTAAAAGACAGTTCCGTCGGAGTCGATCAGAATCGGTGGTTCCTTGGTGTTCGGCCGGGACATCTCGGCGATTTCACGGCCACCCTGGACAATGTTAGTAATGGTCTGATTTGCGACGTCTAGTTCCTTCCAGAATTGAAGACATACCTTCCAACTGCCCGCTTCGAGAATTTGCGGCAGGCTCAGCTCGTGGCCTTGCAGGTCAGCCCGCAGTGCCTTGTTCACGTCGATGGCCAGGCGGTCTAGGAAGCCGACGGTCACGGCGCGCCATTCGACAACGACATCATCGCCGGGCTCAAACATGGGCGCAACCTCGACGCCTGTGGTGCCCGTGCGCTCGTAGTACGACCGGTAGTGCGCTAGGCCGCGCTCGACGTCGGCCGGCTTCAACGTCAGCACGCCCAGGTCGACAAAGAGGCCGCCGTTGCGGTACTCGGGCAAGCCTGTGAGTAGCTCGGTGCCGGCAAAGTGGATCTTCAGTTGTGACTGCATGGGCTGCATCAGCGAGTATGTCAGCCACTGCGTCAGCTTGTGGAAGGGCACAATCGACTCCCAGGCGGCGACATCAGTCGAACCAACCGAGTTGGACGAGGCTGACGACGGGAATGGCGAAAACGTAGGGTTCGACAACTTGCGGCCCCTTGGTGCTGTGGGTGGCGAGGCGCCGGACGGCTGGGGCATAGTGCTGCACGGCCACGCGTCGCCAAGCGAGATGCCGTTGACGGCTGTCCGTGCGTCGGGCCAGATCGGTGCCAAACCATCCATCAGCAGGCTCCACAGCACAGGTAGGAGCACAATGGGCATTGACGACGCCTGCGTCGTCGGATGTGCCAGCAGGTAGTCCACCATGTTGCCTGGGCGGCCGTCCATACCAAAGACGTCGGGGTTGGCGGCGAGCGCATCGCCAAGCCGGATGAGTAGACTGGCACGGCCCTCTAGACCTGCCACTGTGTTGCCCGGCCGAGACTGCAGACCCTTGGCAAGGTCGTCGACCGTTAGCGAACGCAGGCCGTCCATGTCGACTTGGGTCTTGTTGGCCGAAGGCATGCTCGAGAACAAGCCGGCCTTGAACATCTCCAGACTGGCCACAGCTAGGCCTTCTGACCGCCGGTAAAAGCGGCCGTTCTCTGTGCTCTTGTACTGCCACTCGGTGCCGGCACCGGCATCCAGCAGCACGCTGACAAGAAACAGGTCGATCAGGCGGCGACAGCGTTCAGTGCTGTCGATTTCTGGTGGGAATGTCTTGAGCAGCATGGCCACCCGGTCGCGGCCACCCACGGCGAAATGCTGATACCGGCCATGGGGCGGTATGGAAGAGGCGTACGGTGCGTCGTAGTCACGCTTGATGATCTGGCTGACGAAGCGAACAACATCGGGGAATTTGGACATGTCCACGTCAAAGTGATGGAGCTCGTTTCGCAGTGCCTTGTCGCCGATAATACGCGACCGCTCGCGCACGGCAGGTAGACTCCGTAGGTAGCCCGCCGGGTCCAGAGCTGGGTCGGGCGGCCGAGGCAGGTCGACTTTGGGCAGGTGGACGGGCGAAAATGGTGAGGCGGGGGTTCCTGGAATGGAGCTAGAGGAGACGGCGGTGGCCGACGTAGCGGCAGTGCCGGCGGTGCCAGCAGACGAGCGGTTGTTCATATTGTGCGAAGAAAATCCGTATTGTTGGGATGCAGACGAAGGAGAGAGGGGAGATTTGAGAGAGTTGGCCGAATTTAGAGACGCATTTGAATTGGAAGAACTCAAGCCATTGGTGTTGTGGTCTGCAGCCGTCCTCGGCGAGGCCCTATCCTTTCGTGTAAAGAGGCCCATTATCTGACCTGACCTGTCCGTTTTGCGAGCCTCGAGCCCGTTGTGAGGGGAGGCGGGCGGAGTGCGGAGGAGGGGTGCCGATAGAAAGCGAATGGCCGAACTGGGCGAGATAGGAGGTCAGCGGACCAGTAGGTTTGGGAGCTTTGTCTTGGTGTTGGCAGTTTTGGTGGTAGCACCAGAACTCCGTCGATAGATTGTTAGTGGACGTTGAGTGGAACTGGCCGATGTGAGTCGGGCGTCTTATCGATCGGAGGCGCGAGAGAGCTTCTAAGCTGTGCGGGCGAGTTGAAGAGATAGGAATCGGCGCCGAAAGCTGAATTTATTTAGCTTGAGGAAAAGATCAGGGCGGCCAGGTGTACTTTCTTTAAACTCGTGTTGTCGCCTGTACGGTGGGCTGTTGTTTGTGGCCCTCCGTTTTCGTTGTTTCCAACTACTCTGCAATTCTTCGAGCTCTCGACTTTCAGGTTCCTGGATTTTCGTGTCTACTTTGGAGAGTCTTTGGAGAATATAAGGAGACGAGCTGTGCAAAGTGTGGATCAACAGACAGAGCTTGCGCGAGCTGAAAGTGGCGAAACGACCAGGTACAGAACCTGCGGTAAAGGTGAATGAGTGGATGGCAGGTGACGAACTTGCAGGTGCGAGCTGCAAGTGATAAAAACAATAAAATAAAGCGAGGCCGAGACGAGACGAAAGGTACAAGGGAGGAAAAGCGAGGATTGAACCAAGGGAGGACGAGAGGGAAAAGTCCAACGTGAAAACACGGTCGGACACAGACAATTGGCCCACGGTGGCTTCTCTTCCAAGAGACAAAATGAGCAAGGAGCTCGCTTGGATTGGAAGCTGGGACAAGCTAGGACAAGCTCCTGAAAGAATGGAGTACAACCAGAGAGCAGACAAGCTGTCGAGCCTACAAATGGCGGCGGTCAGTCTGGGTCGACGAGTAGAAATGTGTAAAATTAGGAGAGCAGCCAACGGCTTTTGATGAGGGAAAAATAAGGAAAATGAGGGAAAGGGGGTTGTAAGGCAGCGAGGTAGACAGAGGGTATTGGATTTTGGTAGATGGCCGTGGCGAACTAACGAGTGTTCCAGTACACAGTATGCCCAGAACTGGGGAGCAAGCACGATACAATATGTCAGTGGGCGAAATTGAGGCGTAACAGAAAGCTGACACCGGACGGTGAGGTCAGCGGCTTGAGGTGGAGAGACAAAAAGAGCCCTGAGAGAGAAACGAGGCGGTTCGTTTCGTGCAATGCTGAGGCCAGGGCTGGTCTTGTAAATCCAGTTGCCGGAGGGCGAAGGGCAGACGGGAAGAATACAAGAGCAAGGCTGAAGCTCTAGTTTGGAGATGCAAAGAGGATATGGAGGAGAGAGGAGGAGATGAGAAAACTGAGAAGGAAGAAAGAAAGCTAGAAACAGCGAGAGAAAGGGCCAGGATGAGGCAAGAGCAATTTGGGGGGGATGTTAGAGAGAAAACGGAAGGTACGCGAAGTCGATGAGCAATGACACTTGGGGAAAGCAAGAGCGATGGGTAGCTAAGCACACTACGAGTACTCATAAGAGATACCGAGACACAGGCAACCACACCGGCGATGGTGAGATGCTCTGTGTCAGGAAGGGAAGGCGCGCCGGACTGGACCAGTTTGGGACTACGAGGAAGGAGGAGGGACAGGGCATGGCTCGAGAAAAGGCAGGAGCGACCACAGCGAGCACAAACGCAACATTCAAATAGGGGTTGAAGTGGAATACAAGCCGAAAGAGGCAACCGCAATTCAGGGGAAACCAAAGCAAGCGAGAAATGGCAAGACGAAGACAAGCAATCATGCTGAGGTTATGGAGGGGCCTGGCCATGCGAAAAGCTCGAAAAAGCTCGAAAAGGATAAATCGAGTAAGTAAAACTGACAGACTTTCAATACCTTCTTCCCCTCGTCCAAGCTCGCTTTTCTCCAAGCCCGATTCGATACAAGCTCAGTGCACTTATGCACCCACAGAGACCAGTCGAGAACAATAGCTCGGAAAAATGCCCCGGTTGCGAAGATTTAGAGCAGAATAGGTTGGTTGGCCAAGCTTTGTGAGCAAATGGATGTAGGAGGGGAGAGGGAGCTGGCGAGAGAGCAAGGGCCAGGCCAAGAAACAAAAGGGTGCAGGCGCGGCCGTCACTCCACGCGGACGTGAGACGCCTTGAAGAGGCAAGAAAGACGAAAAGGACTGCAAGGATGCCATGGTCCAAAGCATGGGTCGTGATGGTTTGCCAATAGCGTGGCGCGTCGGGAGGACCTAGCCGTGTATGGGCCTGGTGAGCGACGGGGCCGATGGTGAATGGATGGAGAATAGAGAATACGGTGCAGAAAGGAACAGTTTGTGTTGTGCAGAAACACAAAACGCCATGCGCCGTTCACAAACCGAAATGCAGAGCACAAACAAACGGGCGCGCTTTAGTCGTGGGACGTGGGACGGACTCGGCGGCACCCGTCATCAAGGTCTGCATGCAGACGTGTGACAGCCAAAAGGCGCCTCGTTCGAAACATTTGTGCCATGGCCCCTTGCTGGCAAGTCCGCGCAGGCCAAAAGCGAGAGCGTCGAAAAAGAAGCACCAAACAAACGGGAGCAGTACAAAGACGAAACCCGGTTTTACACCCTGTTGAGCCGAGGACTTGGTATGTTTATTCGTTTTGCAGATCTTTTTGGACATAGAGCAGCAGTCAAAACTACGCACCCGTACGACGGTACCAGGGACGATTGACGAGCAGCAAGCCAAGCTCTGGCCAAAGCGTCTTCACGGCGTACATGTACACAACGCCGGTAACGTACGACATGGGGGCCCGTTTTGGAGGATTGTCCGTTGAAGACTGACACAAAGAAGCTAACACAAATATGCAAATCGGACGGGTTGAGTGCGTTCTGCGTACGGAGTACACGAACGGGAAAATAACAGGAAAGGAAAGGATGTGCAGAATGTGCCTGGCTCTGGCGTTGGGTGGGGAGAGTGTCGGATTCGAAAGAAGGGAACGAAGAAGAGGAGAACAACAGAACAGGAACAACGACAGGAACAAGACAATACGGCAAAAGTCGGCCAAAGACGACAGTCGGTCTAAGAGCGGACGAAACGCGAACGGACCGCAAATTGGTGCCTGCGCAAAACTGGTGCCAGCCCCGTTTCTGGGCGAGTTGAGGTGGACCCACGACGCAGGCGAACAGGGGTTGTGTGGTTGACAGGGTTAAGTGGGAAAGGAAAAGGAAAGGAAAAAGAAAGAAAAAGAACAGAGCAGGGGCTTGACAAGTGAAAGGGAGGGTCAATGACACCATATGCAGGTACCAGGATCGGGTAAAGTAAGTGGGAGGAGAAGACAGAACAGTACGACGTACATTCGTACGGAAGGGATAGAAGACGAAAGAATACGAGCCAAAGACAAGACGACACAACCGATACAACCTATGGCGTACTTTGTACGTTGTATATCGTACTACGGGTTACGACTTTGACGGAAAATCCATCAGAAAATTTGGCGTCAAGTCGTCCTTTGCCAGAGATGGCGTTCTCAATCATTTATTCCCCGATCCCTTGAACGTTGGCTTCTTCGGTCACGCGTTTTCTCGGCTGCGAATCAAACAGCGTCGTTTCGCGGACCGGCCAGATTCAGAGGGAGCCTCAAGAAACCAAAGCTGGATCGGGGTCCTCTTAACCTTGATTTCGAATTTGTCAACATGCCTGACAGTAATCCGCAACTCCGTATGCCACACCCACAGCGAAGAGGAGTGCATACTTCATCTGCACATGAGCGGCCATTGTGCCAGGCCGAGAGACCGACCATCACAGTGACCGAGAACAGGGGTACTTCGCATCTCACTCTTGCCCAGTATTACCGCCGGCGGTGGCCGGTGGTGTGGTGTGGAGGCGATACTTCGGAGGCCAGGAAGTGGGTGTGGATACGGAGATTGGCAAGGATCGCATGGGCCTGGACATGAACGTGGTCGGTGGATAAAGTCGGTGGATTGTCGGTGGAAAAGGTGGACAAGGTCGGTGGACAAGGTCGGTGGACAAGGTCGATGGATAGCCAAAGGTCCACTTAACGATCACAGAAGACGCATGGAAGAGAAAAGAAAGAGTCACTCTCCGGAGACCAGGTCCGGGATGCGCACCTCCTGCAAAAGCGCACAGAGCACGGCACGGCTCTGCACGTTCTGTCAAGACACTGCCAGACACGAAAGAACAATCAACCGCGAGGAGAGACAAACATACGAGGAAGGTAAAAGATAGGGGGAAATATAGATTTAATATGGCCTGGTTGCTTTTGTACTTTGGCGGGAAACAGAGATAAGACACAGGACATGGGCTGGCATGGCCAAGTGACGAGACAACTTCGCTTACAACGCCACATATTTATGACCACCTTTACCACCACACTGGTGTCCCTCCTGACAGGATCGATGCGACCTGGTGCCTGGGCCATCAACGGGATCCAAAGACCCAAGACGCTGGACCGGATACAATAAATTGGACCGAGTGTTGACTCGATTCTGTCGTTGGACATTGCTGTGCCTCGGAATCAATGATACCAACATGGGCAAAAGTGGACAGTCCATAAACATAGTCTTTTTCAGTCCTTCCACCGTCACGTCACATCTCGTCTCGTACTCTCAAACAGCCTAGCCACCTGGTCTGTGCTCGAGAGCATCTTGGTCCGCGGAGCGTTCCGTTTGTGGCAAAACGAAACAAAGAGCGGCCTGTCCAATGCCAACGCAAGTCTGGTTCTGGCCGGAGGACGGCAATGGTCAACAACAGCAACATTCCAAAAGTGCATAAAATGGCCATTCAAACGCACCCATTTCCACATTGGGGCCTGACGTCGGGCTGGGTGTACATGTAGCATTGCTAGTGAGTTTACGTATGGCTGAGTATGACGCGCCCCGAAATTTGGATGGCCCAACAGGTCGACCTCTTATGCAACGCTCGTCCATCACATTACATCCTCCTGTCACACAATTTCGTCTCCCCTCCTTTCCTATCGCCTCATTCCTTGGCGCTATGTATCCTTTTTCAGTTCCCCAGTCAGTGCGATGTAAGCTTCTCGGCTTGCCCTCTGTCACTGCGAGGACAATATCCTCGGCAGCGTCTTCACAACTCGTAACTTTCCTGTGACGGTCGTTACGCGGACCTGTCCACGCGTCGGTGGTGTCGTTGGGTTAGTATGGGTCCGCGGGTTTCGGCACGGTGCAATGTCTTGGTCTTGGGGCTTTTTGATTTGTATTTGGCACAAAAATCAATCTGGTATTTGAGACTGGTTGGGTCAGAACGGGGGCCAGAAAACGACGAGCGATAGAGGGAATTTTGCGCACTCACCGTTAAAAGAACACGCCCATTTCCTCCCACTCTGCAACCCAGGCGTGCAGCTTATATGGATCCCTTGACGCGACGTGCCGAGTCGGCTCTATGTCTTGTCGGCGCGGCGCCGCGGATCGGTATATTTTGAACGTCATTCTCGTTCGTTTTTACTTGGCCCTCCGCTGCCTTACGACAGAATGTCGGCCACATTCATTGGCATCTCGTCAATCTGGGTTGAGTAGTACACTGCAAGGTTGGCGTTAGTACGACTATACAAATGAACGTCACAGTGCCAATAAAGGACCACCTACACTCAATGTCCCGCAGGATGCGCACGTCCTCGTTGGTGACAAAGTTGATGGCCACGCCCTTGCGGCCGAAGCGACCGGACCGGCCGATGCGGTGGATGTAGTTCTCGCGGTTGCTGGGCAGGTCGTAGTTGATGACGAGGCTGACCTGCTGCACGTCGATGCCGCGCGCCCAGACGTCGGTGGAGATGAGCACACGCGTGTTGAACTGGCGAAAGTCCTGCATGATGCTGTCGCGCTCCTTTTGCGGCATGTCGCCGTGCATGCTGCTGACGGTGAAGTTGGACTCGCGCATCTTGTCGGTGAGCCAGTCGACCTTGCGGCGCGTGTTGCAGAAGATGACGGCCTGCGTGATGGTCAGGGTGTCGTAGAGGTCGCAGAGCGTGTCAAACTTCCACTCCTCCTTCTCCACGGCAATAAAGTACTGCTTGAGGCCCTCGAGCGTCAGCTCGTCGCGCTTCACGAGGATGCGCACCGGGTCCGTCATGAACTTGTACGTCATCTCGAGCACGTCCTGCGGCAGCGTCGCCGACACCACCACGACCTGCGTCGCCGGCGGCAGGTACCGGTACACCTCGTAGATCTGCTCGCGGAAGCCCTGGTTCAGCAGCTCGTCCGCCTCGTCGAGCACCAGCATCTTGATGTTGCGCGTGCGCAGGTTGCGCCGCCGGATCATGTCGGCCACGCGGCCGGGCGTGCCCGACACAATGTGCTGGCCCTGGTCGAGCTTGCGGATGTCCTCGCCCACGTTGGTGCCGCCGATGCACGCGTGGCACTGCACGTTCATGTAGTCGCCCAGCGCCTTGACGACGCTCTGGATCTGCGTCGCGAGTTCGCGCGTCGGGCTCAGCACAAGCGCCTGCGTCTCGCGGGACGCCGCATTGATGACCTGGAGGGCACTGATGGAGAAGGTCGCCGTCTTGCCCGTGCCGGACTGCGCCTGGGCGATGGTGTCGCGGCCTTTGCAGATCTGCACGATGGCGCGGGACTGGACGGCCGAGGGCGTCTCGTAGCCGTAGGCATAGATGCCGCGGAGGAGGTTCTCTTGACAGTTGTGTTAGTCGCCTGCAATGGAGAGCAACGCGTGCGTTCCTGGCGCTTCCTGGCTTGTACTTACCCTTCAGACTCATCGACTCAAACGTCGGAAACACCTTGACTTCCTTGGAGGTGGTCAGCTCCACGCGGTCGTCGAGCTTGCCCGCCTTGCCGCTGGACTCTGCCATGGTGTGGGTGTATGTGAGGGGGGTAATCGTGGGAAGGGGAAGGTCAGTTGGTATCGCAGTCGTCGGCGTAATCAATCGTGGTTGTCGTGTCGTATTGTCGTGTCTCGTTTCCAATGTTTTGCTTTGGTGTTGTTCGGCGTCGACTTGCACTCTTTGAAGCTTGATAGGCACTAACGAAAAAGTTCAAGGCTAGCCCGCCACCCAATTGCCGCCTGCAGCGGGCGAGCCTTGCGCCGGAAAATTGAAACTCCGAGCTATTGGCTGCTTGGCTTTGGCGCTGTAGCGATCAAAAACAGTGCCTCCATCTTCATCTGAGAGTAAACCGCACTCATTACAACATCACCAACGCCACCCAAGCGACTCCCACAGCCGCCATGCTCCTCGAAGAAATCCGATACATCCTCGAGGACCTCGAGCGCCTTGAGCAGGCCGTCGTCGACCGCCTCGTCGACGAGCCCACGCAGGTGCGCGACCGCCTCAACCGCGAGCACGAGGTCGCGCAGCTGCTGGACCACATGCAGGCGCAGTCGGGCGAGGCCCTGCGGCTCTACGGCGATGCGCACGACATGCGGGCCGACGAGGTCTCCCTGCTGGGCGACGGCGACCCGCTTCAGCTGTTTTACCGGAACCTCGACGACACCCTGGCCTACCACCAGCGCTACCCGACCGACCAGCTCGACCAGCCCGAGCTGCGGTACCGGCACCGACCACCGCAGCCGCTCGGCGAGTACGGCTACGGCGAGTTCCAGCCGACGCTGGTGGACACCATGTTCTCCGGCGAGGAGGGCTTTGGGCGGTACTTTGACCTCAACGCCAACTACGAGGCGTTTGTCAACCTGCCCAACGTCAAGCGGCTGACGTACCTGCAGTACCTCGAGGTGTTTGACCAGTTTGGCGAGAGCAACCCCTTCTTGGCGTCGCAGAAGCGCAGCGACAAGCTGACGGACGACTACTTTCAATACATCGGCGGGCTGGCCGACTACCTCCAAGGCTTCATGCGCAAGACGCGGCCGCTCGAGAACCTGGACCGCGTGTTTGCCGGCTTTGACGACGACTTTGAGGCGCTGTGGAGCCGGGACGAGCTGCCCAGCTGGAAGACGGCCGGGAGCCTGGGTGCCGCTGGGGGGGAGAGCGCGGGCAGCACCGCAGATGGCGGGGCCGGCGGCAGCACACCGCAGCTGAGCTCGCCCGAGGCCGTGTGGTGCGCCGACTGCGAAAAGGAGTTTAAGAACCAGAACGTCTACAAGGGCCACTTGACAGGGCGCAAGCACGTGCGGGCCGCCGAGCAGAGGGCCCAGGCGCAGTCTGCTGCGTCCCACGACGGCAGCAACGGGAACGCGTCCGGTGTCGGTGGTGCCGCCGCGGCGGCGGCCCACCGTCTCAAAGAAAAGGCCGTCGCCGCCCGCGAGTACCGTGTGCAGCGACTCGTCGCGGCCATGAGCACCGAGAAGGACGACACGCGCGTCAACGTCGAGCGCCGCCAGGGCATGACGGAGCGCGAGCGGCGGCAGGAGCTGGACAACCTGTACGCCATGCTGCAGGAGTCGGCCGCGGCGGCGCAAGCCATGGACGTGGATGGTGGTGGTGGCAGAGCAGATGGCCAGGGCGGCGAGGCCGAAGGCGACAACGACGACGACGACGACAAGGTGTACAACCCACTCAAGCTGCCCCTGGCGTGGGACGGCAAGCCCATCCCCTTTTGGCTGTACCGGCTGCACGGCCTGGGCGTGGAGTTTGACTGCGAGATCTGCGGACAGTACACGTACATGGGCCGACGCGCCTTTGAGAAGCACTTCAACGAAAGTCGGCACATTCACGGCCTGCGGTGTTTGGGGATCAACAACCCGGGCCTGTTCCGGGACATCACCAAGATCGAAGAGGCGCTGCGGCTATGGGACAAGCTGGAAAAGGAAAAGAAGCGCAACAAGCAGGACGAGAGCTCCGTGGTGCAGATGGAGGACGCCGAGGGCCATGTGATGCCCGAAAAGGTGTACTACGACCTGCAGAAGCAGGGGTTGGTGTAGTGAACCCGCTTGTGTTTGTATGGTTTCGTGTATGTACAGTAGACAATATACCCGTTATGTATATGTTCTTTTTGCATCGTCTACGCCTTCCCCCCGTTCTCTTTTTGTTCTCCGTTACGTCCAATGATCGTGTATATGTAGAAGAACAGGAGAAAAAACTCGTCTTGAGCAACGGACAGAGATTATAAAAGGCCGCGAGGTTAGGCCACGTGTAGAAAAGAGAAAGTTGAAGGTTTATTGCGCCGTGATAAAACAAAACTGGAAACTCACAAACGCCCGTCCGATGGCTATTTTTACACTTGTGGACCATCAGCCACCTCCCAGCGCATCCGTAAACCCAAAGTAATACATGTAAATAAACAGACTCCTCTTCTGCGTCCGTTCTTCCATCCCCGCACTCATTGCTATTCAATGTTCCGCGCCTCCAGAATCACGGCATTCAACCGCGAATCGCCCAGCTGCGCCACCCGCTGCCCAACCACAGGGCCCAGAAAGTCCACCAACTCGGCCGTCTCAACGCCGCTGCTGGCACCACCGCCACCGCCGGCAAGGCCGCTGGGCGTCAACGGCGTCGCTGGCACCAAGGTCCGGATCGCCTTGAGCAGACCGCCCGCGACGAGCATCTCCAGCTCAATGGCAATGGCGGCGCCGCGCTCCTGCAGCGGCTGCAGAACGTACGTGTCAAAGGCCTTGAGATTGGGCAGCAGTAGCACGCGCACGGCCTCGGGCCCGCCGGCGGCCGACAGGCCCGCGACGGCACCAAAGAGCACGCCGACGGGGCGGTCGGGCTCGAGCAGGGTCTTGAGGCACGTGCGCGTGAGCTTGGGCCGGAGCAGCGTGCTGCTCTTGGCGAACTTGCGGGCCAGCAGGCCCAAGAGCGACGCGGCCAGCTCGCGCAGCAGGTAGATGTCGCGGACGGCGTCGGTGCCCTGCACGCCGGCCGAACTACTCGCTGCGGCGCCACTGCTACCACCACCACCATTACCAGCGCCGCCGCCGCCAGCCGCCGTCGCCTTGTCGCCACCCAGGCCCAGCTTCTGCCCGAGCAGGCACGTCAGGACGGGCGCGCACAGCGGCGTCACGTAGGGGTCGAGAAACACGTGCGGGTTCTCGACGAGCGCCGTCGTCAGCTCCATCATGTGCCGCAGGATGGTCACGTCGTCGATGCGGTGCGTGACCTGCGTCGCCACAAAGCTGACAAAGTACGGCACCAGCTGGTGCAGGCCCGGGTCCGACCGCACCGACTCGAGCGCCGCCTCGCGCAGCCGCAGCACCTCCTCGTCGGGGCTGTCGTCGAGGATGGCCGCCTGGATCTTGTCAAAGTACAGCACCAGCTCGTTGCTGATGATGTGCTTGACCGCCGGCTTGAACCCGACGTTGTCGTTGCCCGCCAGCGCCGCCAGCGCCGGGTTCGCGCCGGGGCCCTTGGCCACGAGCTCCTGCGTGCTGCGCGCCTCCGCCGTCGTCGGGTTCTGCGGGATCGACGGCTGCACGCCCTCAATCGCCAGCCAGTGCGCCGTCATGCTCGCGTCGCGCGGCACCTTGGGCAGCGGCGCGTTGATGAGCTTCTCAAACTCCACCTCCTCGTCCTCAACGTAAAACAGCGGCTGCCCGGGGCCGATGCTGGCTTCGCCGTACCGCAGCGGCCGTGTCGATTCGTAGCCGTAGAGCGGCTCCACGTCCAGGACGCGCAGCGCCAGGGACACGTCTTGCACGGTCAGCGTCGTGCGGCTGGCCGCGCGCATGAACCGCAGCGCCTCGACAATCACCTGGCCGATGCGGTACTCGACGTCTTGCGACAGGCAGCGCAGCGCGTCGTCGCCAATCTGCGTGATGCCAACAGACTCGGCGACGTCCTTGACGTTTTCGGGGTTCCACAGGAGGCGAACCGCCGTGTCGTCGGGCTTCGCGGCCATGGCTGCTGTGCGTGGAGGAAGGGAGGGGGGGGTGTGGTCGAATTCAATCCGTCAATTGTGTCAGTGGTTCGGGCCGTCGTCAGTCGGCGAATTCAGGGAGAGGCATCAATCGCAGTACAGCTCTTCATCAGCCGCCTATCGTCTATGTTGCCGGGTGTCGCCGGAAGTTGTGCGCGACCATGAACAAGGGCCGCGAGTGACGTTGATGCAAAGTGAGCTCTGTGTAGCGGTTGACGGTTGTGGAAGCTTTACTTGTGCGGAGGCGCAAGGAGAATTCAGCGCACGGGCCAATAGTAGCACTAGCGCGGTTGGCCACACTTGTCCGTAGCCTCGTCAGAACGCTAGTTGATAACTCTAAACTGCCAACAGATGACAACAGATCTCAGTTAATGTCTGAGATAGCACACAAACCTTCATAAATCTGCAGATATTTCTAGCATAAACATGGTCATTGAAGTGTGCGTTTGGAGTCGCCCTGCATTTGCCTGTGGGAATAGGCACATTGTCACATATGGTTACCTACCAGGTACTAAATGCACTGAATACAGCCTTGCTAGGCCTAAACTCGCACACTAAGTACTCACAGCACTTGCTATTGTCCTAAAGGGTAAACGAGACAGAGTCATCGACGGTATATTATGAAATGAGCTGGGAATAAATTACACTGTAATGGACGTAATAGAGCTGGAAGACGAAAACATGCCACCGAAGGACCCGAAAAGATAGAACCTCCAATTCAATGACAAATGCACAAAAGGCATTAAAAAAAAACCAAACGAGAGCCAAACACAAAAAACAACAGGAAACACGTTGACAAAGAACAAAAGACAGACCAAGAAACAGACCCGGACATTCAAATAAACTGACAAGACACCGCCCCCGAAGTAACAATAAGAACCGTCTAAACTCCCCGTTGACTTTTGTGTGTAATAACACCGCGCCCGCCCACGTCTCTTGTACATAATATTACGCTCCATATGTTCGTCAAAAAACACTCCTTCTTCTAGATATGCCCAGGAAACAATAAAATGGCGGAAGCAACGCAAACAAAATTAAAAATGAAATAAAATAAAATAAAACAACGCCCCACCTCACTTGGCACCGCTGTCGACTTCCATACGGTCGACAGCGTCATTGCCGCTCTCCGCACGCGGTGTCTCCTTGGTCGGAGTCGGCACTGCATCAAAGAGGCCCGTTCTCGGCCGCTTCGCGTCAGCGTCGGCCGGGGGCGCCGGAACCGTCGCTGGCCACGACGAGTCGCTACCTGCACGTGTATGCCCGGACGGCGCAGCTGTCGCACCGACCGACGCCGGCCGTCCCGCATCGCCGGGGCTCTGCTGCTGGCCGCCGTTGTCAAAGCTCATCACCGTGCTGTGGCGGTCAAGAGGCTGGCGTTGCTGCTGCTGCTGCTGCTGCTGCTGCTGCTGCTGCTGCTGCTGCTGCTGCAACTGCGCCGCCGCCGTTGGCGACGCTTGCGACAGCTGTGGCTTGTTCCGGCCAAAGTTGCTGAAGCTGCTGGCGTTGTATGAGCCTTCCGAGCTGCGGCGGAAGCCACTGGTGTCGGCGGGCGGCGACTGCTGCAGGTCTGCGTTGCGTCCACCAGCGCCGGCGCTGCCGGCCGACGAAGGGGCTGCCGCATCGAGGGGGCTACCCAGCGCGGTAGCCGGGGCCAGGGGCATCATGAGGCCCGACGAGCGAAACGACGCCGCGGCCGCCTCGGCCGCCGTACCGGCCGTCAGCATCTTGCGCCGCGAGCTGTTGGCGCGCAGCTTGACCAGCTCCGGCAGGTCGTCCGGGTCGTCGACCTGGTACTGCGCCATCATCTTCTGCAGCTTGGTCGGCCGCGGCTTGCGCGTGCTCTTGGACTCCTCAATCAGCGGCGGCGGATCGGGCGCCACGGGAAAGCGCTTGTGGAGCACCTGGCGGAAGAAGTTGGTCTCGCGCGTCAGCAGAATCTCGGCGCCCTCAATCTTGCGGAGGTAGAAGCGCTGCTTAATCGCGTCGCTCTCCGACGTGAGGTTGGGGTCCAGGTAGTCCTCGACTTTAGCGCGGAAGTCCATGGCGCCCTGGATAATCTCGCCCAGGATCTGCTCCTCGTCGGGCTGGAAAGGCAGGTTGGGGATCTCGTTGAACAGGTTGATGAGCGACTCGAGGTCAGGGCGGGCCGCATCGCGCGGAATCTTGACGCGCCAATCGCAGATCGGGCAGGTGTACTTTTCATCCTCCTTGACCTTGCCGCGCGCAATCTTGAGACACTTGCCGTGGTACCTAAACGAGGCTCGGGTTAGATATCAAAAATACAATAATAAAATAGTCATAGGGAAAGAGAGGGGGAGGGACGTACCACTCGTGGCACACTTCACACTCAATCATCATGCCCGCCTCGGTGCGCCGGCAGATGCAAAACACCTCACGAAGCTTCGCGTTCCTATACGCGGCCGACGATTCGTCAGGGCTTGGCTCGCGGGACGCGGGCTCGGCTGGCGTGCGCGGTTTGTCGTCTTGCGTGTCGAAGCAGTCGTTATTGCGGTCCAGCACGTACTCCAGATGGCTCTTCAGGATGTAGAGCGGCGCATTGGTCTTGCCAAAGACGCGCTTGCCCTTGCGGATCCAGTCTTCGCTGCGCTTCTGCTCCCGCTCCAGCTCGTGCGTGCCCGTCGGCTTGGACTGCAGCTCCTCAATCTTGCTCATCAGCGCCACCACCTCCGAGTACTTGGGCCGGTTCTTGTATTCCGCCTCGCGGCAGCGCATGTTGAGGTCCATGACTTGGCGGTGCGCATCCCTGTGCTTGTGCAGGATCTGGTCAATCGCCGCCAGCGTAGCCGCCGTCACCGGAATCGAACCGGACGTCGCCTGGTTCGAGAGCGCCTCGAGCTGCGGGTAGTGGACAGCGTCCGCATGGAGCAGCTCTTTGGCCTTCTTCTCCCACTGCTGCCCCGCGGCCGCCTGGCCCTCCAGGAACATCATGTGGTCGTTGTACTGCGGGATGCCCATGCGCTGCCCGTCCTCGAGCAGCTTGAGCACCTCGTCGAGGGCCGCGTACTCGGTCCGGCTCGTCTCCGCCTTCTGGCCCCACTTGAGCTGGTCGAGGAACCGCGTCAGGCTCTCGACCTCGGGCACGTCGACATTAAAGCTGTGTCCTTCGTCGAGCAGGTTCTCAATGGTGTCCACCGTTTGCGTGGAGACGTGCGCTAGCGCGCGTCTGGCGTCTTCCTGGAAGATCTTGATGGCGTCGGCGCGCTGCTGGAGGAGCTGGATTTCGGGGCACTCGAATCCGATCTGGGCGGCTTCGTCGAGCAAGCGGTAAATGTTGGAAATGTTGCGGGTCTCCCGTTCCTTTTCCTTTTCGTCGGCCACGGCTGCCGCCGCCGCCGTTGCCGCCGCCGTCGTCGATCCCGTGGAGCCCGCTGCCCCGGCTGCCGTCGAGGCTGAGCCGGTGCCGGCTGCTTCGGCGCCGCTGGCCGCGCTGATGGATTTGCGCGTGTCGGTCTTGCGTCGGTTTTGCTGTTTGCGCACAATGTATGTTGTAGCCTCTTCAACCCAGTGATTACAGCGGTCGACAAATTCGCGCAACACCGGCAAAGAAGGCAGATCATAGGGGATCCTCTCACCTTCGTTCAGGATAGCTCGCAGGGTCTTGAGTGAGGGGGTCGCGTCTTCCTCCAGGATCTTGTCGTACTTTTCCTCCCAGGCCTCCGGCTGCGCTGCCTTTTCGGCAATCTTCTTGCACATGGCCTCAATGTCGTCCGACGACTTGCGATAGACGACAAAGTGGGATTCCCCGAGGAAGCGGCTCGCCTCGCGCGCGGTGCAGCAGTGGTTGAACCCGGCGTGCTGCAGACACAAAACCTTACCTGTTTTGACACACTTGAAGCGCGACAGGTACGTATAGCCCTTGCAGAAGAAGCACTGGTACTCCTCTTCAGGGACGTCGGCGTCGTTGATCACAATGTCGAGAGAGCAGGACTGCGCGGCGGATTCGCCGCCGCGGCGGCCCACGCCCGTGTCGCGTCCTACAAGCGGGCAGTGGTGTGGCACTCCGTAATGCTTAGCCATAAAGCCGTCGCGGTTGGTCTCCTCGAGGTACCGTATCCGTTCAAGCGCAGGCGCGAGCCATTTGGCCGTCTGGATCGTCAAGGGTCCCGTGGCCGCGCTCAGCACATCATCCGCAGCCGTACACAGCAGCTCCTCGTGTGAGAAACAAGGCTGGCGACGGAACTGCTGCAGCCGGTGGACACCAGAGAGGCCAAAGGGCTCCCAGTCGGACGGCGCAAAATTGACGGCCTCGTTGAAGTTGAAACCATGGTTGAAGCCCGCATGGTACGCCTGGGGGAACGTGATGACCATTTGACCAGCGCGCTGGTCGACTGCATAGACACGCACGCCGGCCTCCTTGAGCTTTTCGGGCGGGAGGAGCGTGACAAGCTGGAACAGCAGATCGGGCTGCGTTTCGAACAGGTCGGGGACGGCCTCGCGCATTGCGTTCTCAAACTTCTCCGCATCGGCGCCGGGAATGCCATACCACGTCTTGGTGGCACCAAAGTGCTGGTAGTTGGCAGAGTAGGCGTAGTGGTCCTCGTTGTGCCAGCAAAACGTCGAGAAGATCATGCCGACATAGACCCAGGGGACGGTCATGCCGGAGATGTCGGACTTGATGTAACGGAAAAGACTTTCGGGGTGGAGCGGAAGCATGTTAAGATTCCAAGGGTCCGTCGAGTATGGCTCGTTGGGGTTCTTCTCAATCGTGGGGAAGCCCGAACCGTGTGTTGTGCAATGGATGTCAGCGCCGTATTCCACCTCGACAGTGTCATCGATGCTGGACACGAGGCGCCAGAACTCGCGCTCGACGTCGTCCTCTGTGATAGGGCGGTGGCAGTTCAGGGTGGGGTCGAACGGCATCTTATCCTCAAAGTAGCTCTGCTTGAACTCAAAGGCCTTTTCCTGGAACTGCTTGAGCGAGTAGAGGCCGCCATCTTCAAAGCCGTACTGGTTGTCGCCGA